CAGTCCTCGACTCGAGTCTATGCATCGATTCCTGAGTTACAGAACCTATGCTTTCATTGCTAACACTGAATGCCATTCACTCAACACTTATCGTAAATGCACTGAATTTCACTCAAGGCTTGCACTTTATAGTAGAGAGAGCTCTGAGAATCGGATCAATTGGTAAACACATATTGTAAACACAATGATTGGCCTCACGTCGAGTGATGGAACCGATCCCATAGCCGGTCATAATGACCAAAATCCCACCGATTCTGTCAATAGTTGTGTTAATTTTTTACAAATTCCTTGGAATGACATTATATTCCCATATATTCTTCGATACCTTTCGTGGAGAGACTTATTTAGGTTGAGATCTGTTTCGCAGACGACTCTTCAGATGACGAGCGAATACTTCAGTACTCTGTCTGTCATAGACTTGTGTTCAGTGAAGAAAGAATTCACTACTAATTCATTTCACATCATTTCCAAAGACTGCAAAAACATACGGATTCTGAATCTGTCTTATTGTAAATGGATTTGCAGTTCACTATTACTTCGTGTCATTCAATGCAACCCTAATGTCGTGGTTGTGGACATCTCTGGCTGTTATGAACTCACTAATGATATTCTTCACAAATTGGCCTCAAATTGTAAATCATTGAAAACATTGAAACTGAAAGACTGTCATTGGGTTAACGGCGACGCCATCACTGATATTGGGCTCAATTGCACTCAACTCGAAGACATCAATCTCGGCAGCTGTTGGGAAGTGTCCGACGACTCGGCCATCGATCTCATCCAAAATTGTCATAATTTAAGACAACTTTCGCTCTCAAAAATCTATGGCATAACTGACAGAACATTATTCGCTTTGGCATCAAATGCTAAACATCTCCAATATCTGGACGTTTCCGGCTGTTGGAGAATAACCGACTATGGGATCAGGTATTTGTCGCATATGTCTTACATAATGGCATTGAATTGTATTTTAATTGTTTAATATATTGATTCTACAGGAAAATCGCTGAATATTGCAGTGAATTATTTTACCTAAAAGTGGGCGATTGTCGGGATGTGACCGAAAGAAGTCTCTCCTATTTGGAAGAGAAGGATATTTTTGTGGAAACCCCAGCGAAGAACCGATGCCTCCGCTCTTATAACCATAACTACAAGATTTGGCTTCAAGTCTAAACTTGTCGCTCAATTTTGGCATTTGTTTTGATACCAATTTATATAATAATTAATTTTAAACCGATTGTTGTTTTTTGCTATTTATGTTTAATTTTGTTTTTTTTACATTTTTATCGTTCACTCAATTGTCTTATAATATTATGGAAAATGCTATTTATTATTCATTGTATGTTAAAATATAACTATTATAACCACTAATGTGATTGAATGGTGTCTTGACATCAGGTTATTATTAAAACTCATATTTATATTCACTTCAATTCCTAACGCATCTTATATTTGATTTTTTATACCAATTATACATAAAATACTCAATCAAAATGAAAATTATTATAATTTTTATAATTTTAAAACATTGTCTAAATTTAGTCCCAAAAACTATTTGACATATTCTTAATATTTAATTATAAAAACCCGTTTCTATTGTAATAACTGGTTGTGAAAACTAATAAAATGGGTTTTAATATACATTTATATACATCTCTAGTCAGACAAACAAAAGTGTTTATCAATTAATTTATTAATAGTTAGACAAAAAAGGAAAATATTTAAATAAAATTGAAATTATAATAAATTTTATAATATTTATAATATTTATAATAAATTTCAAAATAATTTATTCTGTCGTGAGTTTTTGGAAATTTGATGCCTTTTCTGTCAAATCTAGTTTCTAAACAAAATCTCTTTCTTCTCGTATTAAACCAAGAAATTGGAAATTAATTTTTCAGCAGAAAATAATTAATTAATTTTCAATTAATATACCATAGATTAGAATTTTATTAAATTGTTATTTTAATTTTAATTGTATTTTTTCAAATGTTATGTGTATTGAATTATTAAATGGCTTATTAATTGCTCAGTTCCTCATCATTTGTTCACTAAATTATACATACAATGCCTTAAGAAATGAAATTTATTGCAAATGAGTTGTGTTTTAGGAATAGTAAGTTATGAGTACTTCTCGGAAGATTATGGCCTGACATTAATCAGTGGTTACTCTGACTATAGATTATATTATAAATCAATAAATTGTTTATTTTATATGTTAACAAAATTAAATATATCGCAGACAAAACAGACAAACTTCATATTAAAGTAAATATACCATAAATAATATGCAACTTTAAATATTCTGATATTCCACTGAATCTCTCTCTCTCTCTCTCTCTCTCTCTGTCCTTAATGGACAATATTTTAAACATGGTTTATATGTGCAGATTCTGGTTATATGCAAATATTCTGAAACTTAACGTGAAGTTTTCGTGAGTTTTTGGAAATTTGATGCCTTTTCTGTCAAATCTAGTTTCTAAACAAAATCTCTCTCTTAAAATTTAACTGTAAAGTATGGTTGGAATTGAGAAATAGACAATATTTTATAATTTTGTATACTGTTTAGTAAAGTGATACAGTATGTATAAAGTGATATAATTTGATACAAATATTAACATTAAAATAGATATGCATTCAATTTTTACTATATACATGAATGTATAAATACGAAGAGAATTGAAAAATTAATTAATAAAAGTTAATATTTATAATATTATATAATATATACAGTATTACAAATATTATAAATTAATAATAAATTAAAAGTTTATTTCTCTAATTGAAATAATTGAGGAAATTAAAATGAAATTATCAGTTATTGTTGTGAAATCATTGAATGAAATATAATGGCATTTAACACCTCGTATACATTACTTGTTAGCAACTAATGATATAATACACACAATTCATGTCACCATATAATATGCGAGGGAAGGAATATAGACCTTATTTAATATGGTTTTCACAAATTGAATTTAATTAAACTATAATTTTTCAATTTCACAGTTAAATGAGAAAAAATATTTGAATTAATTTCGAAAAATATAATTAAAAATATCGGCAAATCATTTAAATTATTAAATGTACTCTAATTTAAATAATTTAAGTTTCAGAATATTTGCATATAACCAGAATCTGCACATATAAACCATGTTTAAAATATTGTCCATTAAGGACTGAGAGAGACAAATAACGAAATATGTTTAAAAAAATTAAGTGTACATAAAAATTAAATTAAAATTACAATTAATTGAATCGCTATAATAATAATGCAATTAAAGTTGAGTGTAAGTGAAGGGTAGCGTTGAATGCAAGCAATAGTAACGTTAGTAATGAATGGTATGAATGAAATGATCAGATGTTTAGCAATGACCGCATGTCTGATGTCTATTGATATGAATTGTTATATAATTATTAGAAATGTTTTAATAAACGATTGATTTCTATACAAATTTCTCTTTCTCTCATTTAATACATAAATGCCTTATATTTGCCGTTAAATTAAATTATTTCTCACTTGAAAAGCAAATCAAAACTTTTTCTCACATTTATTTGTCGATTAAATGCAAAACTAATAACCATTTAAAGGGAAACGAGAAAAATGTTACGAAATGTGAGCCAAAGTGTGTCAAAGTTGTTGGGAAGTCATTCAAGACACGGCTGCGCGGCCAAGAC